CGACGGGACAAATTGATCACCGGACAGTGTGCGGCAACCGGTTTTACAGTCAGCGCTGGAAAGGTGAAAGACCAAAAGAAGAACGTGCAGAAGACGATAGGCAAGAAATAGCCCAGAGGGGCCGTTGCGGACCACGAGAAAAAGGGAAATGGTGTGCCAAAGCCCAGCAAGTGGCACCTCCAACAGAGCGTCCATGGCAGCCAGAGCCCAGAGCCCACAGTCTGCGCAACTGCGCCCACAGTCTGCGAGGTTTTGAAACGTCTGAAGCGTCCAGAATCCACAAGATGGCTGCTCCAACTGCCAGTATGGCAGAACCATTGGCAAGTTTCGAGGGGTTTGAGGGGTTTGAGGCGTTTGAGGGGCTTGAGGCGTTTGAAGGGCAGTTTCGGGCCACTAGAAAACCAGGATTTGGCGCGCCAGAGCTTTGGAGCGTCTGAAGCGTCCAGAATCCAGAAGCTGGCTGCTCCAACGGCCAGTATGGCAGAACCATTGGCAAGTTTCGAGGGGTTTGAGGGGTTTGAGGCGTTTGAAGGGCAGTTTCGGGCCACTAGAAAAAAAGGATTTGGCGCGCCAGAGCTTTGGAGCGTCTGAAGCGTCCAGAATCCAGAAGCTGGCTGGCAGAACCATTGGCAGGCTTACAGTCTGGCACAGAGCCCAGAGCCCACAGTCTAGCAAGTGCGAGGCTTTGGAGCGTCTGAAGCGTCCAGAATCCAGAAGGTGGCTGCTCCAACTGCCAGTATGGCAGAACCATCGGCAGGCTGGCTGCTCCAACTGCCAGTATGGCAGAACCATTGGCCAGTTTCGGGGGGTTTGAGGGGTTTGAGGCGTTTGAGGGGTTTGAGGCGTTTGAAGGGCAGTTTCGGGCCACTAGAAAAAAGGATTTGGCGCCCCAGAGCCCCGAGCCCACAGTCTGCGCAACTCCGCCCACAGTCTGGCACAGAGCCCAGAGCCCACAGTCTAGCAAGTGCGAGGTTTTGGAGCGTCTGAAGCGTCCAGCATCCAGAAGCTGGCTGCTCCAACCGCCAGTACGGCAGAACCATTGGTGGCAAGTTTCGGGGGGTTTGAGGGGTTTGAAGGGCAGTTTCGGGCCACTAGAAAAAAGGATTTGGCGGGCCAGAGCCCAGAGCCCACCGTCTGGCAACTGCGCCCACAGTCTGGCAACTGCGAAGTTTTGGCGCGTTTGATTTCGGGCCCAGAAAAGCAAGGATTTGGAGAGCTCAGGTTCCACACCTTCGGTGGTCCCAGGCGCCGCCCCTGCCTTCGCCAAAGCAGGGGTCGGCGGATTTCCTACTTTTAGCATCTACTTGACTTGACATTGTACCTCCTACTTTGCTTTCTACTTTCGTGGCACCCGTGCTCTTTTTTTCATTGGTCACACACCCTTCCACCTTACTCGTACCAGGTTTCTGGCCGAAAAGGGCTGTGTTGCCAAAAGCAGCGCGGTGTCGCGTAAGACTGTTGACGGATTGTGCTAAGTTCATTGCTGCGCCGAAAAGTACAGAAAACAAAGAACATGCGCAACATATTGTATTTTCCACTATCATGTGCCCTTTCTGGGATGCTACTAGGGGCTCCTGGCATCGCTACTAGGAGCAAGGACGCTACTAGGAGACCTTCCTATCTTTATTTCGGTCCTTCAAACCTCGAAGAATACCATTCCTTCAAACCTCACCCGAAACGGCGTTTGACATCAAGGCCTGCTGGACATCGAGCATGTTTTCCAGATTGCAGATTTGGCTTTCACATGTTTCTTCGTGTTGGACGTGATGATACGGATCGCTGTGCTCCAAAAGAGACACGTGGTTGATGCTAGTGTTTTCCTGTTCCTGGAGCTTGAATTTGCTGATTGGACAACCTACCGAATGGACAAGTCAGTTGCTGATGACACCAGAGGAGCTTGCAAGAGTTTTGATCACGCCCTTAGGATTCTTCAAAGTTCCCATGAACTACCTTGACCTGGCCGTTAGCCTCTTTGCAGATTTTGATGGTCCAGCTCGGTGGTACTTGTGGATGTTTAAAGACTGTCGTATGTCACATTAGTAGGCTGAAGGACAGCGCTATTAGGTTTCTTTTGCTTCTAGGAGCAAAGGGCATCGCTACTAGGAGCAAGGACGCTACTAGTAGCTCCTGGCCTTACTACTAGGAACAAGAAGCTACTAGGGGCTCCTGGCCTTACTACTAGGAGCAAGGACGCTATTGGGAAACACCTTAGGCCGATGGAAACACCTTAGGTGTCACGTCTCTGGTGGAGATTGCCTTCCAAGCGTTGACTTTGCCGGTGAACCCCGTGCTCTTCCGGTTGTTGCGAATCGGCAAGCTAGCCAGGGCCTTCCGGATGGTGCCTTAACTCCATAGCTCAGGCAGTCATGAGAAGATCAGCCAAATTTGTTGCAGCCAACTGATTGTTTGGAGGCCATCGCTAGTAATTAGGTTGGAGGCCATCGCTATTAGGCCGGAGTTTTCCGAAGTGGCCCAACTCCGAGGTAACCATGACTAGTGTGCTTGCTTCCTTGCAACTTCTCGTGAAGTGCTTGGCATCCAGTAGTGTCTTGGCATCGCCAACAATTGAGTGGGTTTCCAGTCTCTTCCTTCTTCTTTCTTCTTCTTCTTCTTTTGAGCTTTTAGGGCATCCATATAGAAAACCGTAAGTGTAGTAGCAGGGCAGGGCTTCTTGCAGCTAAGGGCAAGATCTTAGGTCTTCTCGGTAGGCCGTTCTGCCAGGCAACATGCTCTTCTGGAGCTTTTGCCTGCTGACCTTCGTGCAGTGTGTTGCTGGACTCATCATGGCCACACTTTGCCGCGATTTCTTCACTGATCCCTTCTACGACCAAAGCATTCGAGCACTTGGTCAGCAAGAGAGAACCAGCCGCATGCTAAAAGTCATGTAACGTCTCCAGATGCTTCGACATTGTTATGCGCTTTGAAGGGAACTCAGATTTGACCGTGATTGACATGCCTTCAAACAAAGAGCTCCTGCAAAGTAATCCAAACGCGTAGACACACTTTTTGAATAGGCCGCGGGCAGTTAAGGTTTCATGGGTACGGATGTTCTGCACTATATATTTTGCCTGCTAAGGAACAAGTCTTCCTCTACTATGGCACCTTTAGCCGAACCTTCCTGACTATGTTTGAGGTGTGTCACATGATTTTCAGTATTGTGCACTGTGAGGTTCAACTGTTCAACTGTGTGTTCATCGATCGATGTGAGGTGCTTTTTGCCAACTGGGGACCTGCATGCAGGGTACTGACCGAAAACTACAGCGAGTACTTCTCAGTTTTCTTCCTCTTTTACAGGCAAACTGAACGGCAGATCGTTATTTTTTTCCCGAAAGCATTGCGGAGGGTTCTTCCGGAAAATCCCTTGAACACTGACACTTCGACACTTACACTTACACACTGACACTTCCACCACATTCGCACTACATACACTGACACTTCGACATTGACACTTACACATACACACTGACACTCGGCAAGCACGCAGTGTAAGTATACAAGTGATGGGTACGCAAGCATGCTTTGAGCATGCAAGCATGCAATGAGTAGGCAAGTGTGAGTATGGAAAACTAGCACGGGAGATGTCCTAATGAAAAAACATTTCCCCACTTTATAAATTCTCTCTTAAAGGCGGAGGGCGGGACGAACAGCGTCAACCGAAAGTGCAACCCTCTGCGGAGATCGTGCGTGTCGAGTGTGCGAAATGCAGGCGAGAGTGCGATTTGCCGGCTGCCCGCGCAACCCTCTGCGGAGATCGCGCGTGTCGAGTGCGCGAAATGCAGACGAGAGTGCGATTTGCCGGCTGCCCGCGCAACCCTCTGCGGAGATCGTGCGTGTCGAGTGCGCGAAACGCAGGCGAGAGTGCGACTTGGTACACAAAACTAGTACGCAGAGTAGCTGGGGAGCTGGAAGCTAAAAAACTGGCGACGTGGTAGTGCGAGAGTAGTGCGCGGAGTAGCTGGAGAGCGGGAAGATGAGAACTGGCGAGTGGGTAGTACAACTTGAGGGCGTGGAGTATCTGGGGAGCTGGGAGATGAGCACTGGCGACTTTGTAGTACAACTGTAGTACGCGGAGTAGCTGGGGAGCTGGAAGCTGAGAACTCGCGACTTTGTAGTGCAACTTTAGTGCGCGGAGTAGCTGTGGAGCTGGAAGATGAGAAGTGGCGACTTGGTAATACAACTTTAGTACGCAGAGTAGCTGGGGAGTGGGAAGATGAGAACTGATGAGTGGGTAGTAGCTGAGAACTCGCGACTTTGTAGTACAACTTTAGTACGAGGAGTAGCTGGGGAGCTGGCAGATGAGAACTGGCGACTTGGTAGTACAAATTTAGTACGCAGAGCAGCCGGGGAGGGGGAAGATGAGAACTGGCGACTTGGCAGTGCAACTTTAGTACGCAGAGTAGCTTGGGAGTGGGAAGATGAGAACTGGTGAGTGGGCAGTAGCTGCGAAGTGGCGACTTTGCAGCACAACTGTAGTGCGCGGAGTAGCGGGGGAGCTGGAAGATGAGAAGTGGCGAATTGGTAGTGCAACTCTAGTACGCAGAGTCGCTGGGGAGTGGGAAGATGAGAACTGGTGAGTGGGTAGTAGCTGAGAACTGGCGACTTTGTAGTACAACTTAAGTAGTGCGCGGAGTAGCGGGGAAGCTGGAAGATGAGAAGTGGCGACTTGGTAGTACAACTTTAGTACGCAGAGTAGCTGGGGAGTGGGAAGATGAGAACTGGTGAGTGGGTAGTAGCTGAGAACTGGCGACTGTGTAGTGCAACCTTAGTATGCGGAGTAGGTGGGGAGCTGGAAGATGAGAACTGGCGACCTGGTAGTACAACTTTAGTACGCAGAGTAGCTGGGGACTGGGAAGATGAGAAACACACACATACGCAGACTCATTTCCACACGGACATAGACACACGCACAGAAACCCACACACTACCTCAACTCACTCGACTTCACACTTTTCACTGCACACTTACCGGATAACTTGCACTCTGACTTCCTACGTGATGAAAAATGCTTTCGGGCCACTCGTCGTCTAGTTTAAATTGTTGGTTGCCAGCGCTCATTTTCGGAAACGATGCCAAACCCTTTTGGACTTTGGGACTTTGTGTTTCAACGTCAGTCAGGTGTGTTTTGGGCTTTGCAGTGTTAAATGTGGCGAATGCAGCCTGAGCCCCGGCGTGGTGACTTTTTCGATGTACAAGCGGCGACGAATAGTCGAATTTCACTGTGATTTCAAACAGCTTCTTGTTACTAGTAGCTTCTTGTGACTACTAGTAAGGCACTTGTTACTACTAGCGTGGCACTTGTTACTAGTAGCTTCTTGTTACTACTAGTAAGGCACTTGTTACTACTAGCGTGGCACTTGTTCCTAATAGCTTCTTGTTACTACTAGTAAGGCACTTGTTACTACTAGCGTGGCACTTGTTACTAGTAGCTTCTTGTTACTACTAGTAAGGCACTTGTTACTACTAGCGTGGC